GGATCTGACCCTAAAACAATTGGTCATTATGTTCCTGAAACGACTGCTGGAACTAATTTACGAATACTGTATTTTTGTACTCGCCTCCCGTCCCCCACCAACCGTCCCTCAGAAAAACAACAAACAAAAAACAATCAACAACAAAAACTTAACAACATTACAACAACGACAGCAGAACAGCAACAATAACAACAGCAACAACAACAACAACAACAACAACAACAACAACAACAACAACAACAGCATCAACAACTAATGGTCACTAATGTAACAGAATGCAACAAGCAGCAACGGCCACAGCAAATGTTTCTTTGAAAGTAGGCTATATAAACTTTACAAAAAACACAACAACAAAAACTATCAAAATTATTTTCCCAATATGGATTTATTGAATTAAGTTGCAAATATATTAATTATTCAAATGTATTTTTAGTTCTTATTCTTAGTTTTCCTTATTTCGTTCTCAATATTTATTTGTTTACCATGTATTATCCACCCATCTGGTTAAATACCGATCCTTTGACACGTGAAAGGACCTGGGAAAATGAAGAATTCGTCTTACATTTTTTAAAAACATTTAGGGTATGAAATAAAGTTTTTCCAATACATTTGGCTTCTCTCGTTCTATCTCATTACTGCTTTTCTTGACGACGTTAGCATGAATCTTACTTTCTTTCTTTTTTTCAATCCTGTTTTTTTTTGTCTTTTTTTTTTGTAAGTGTTTTTCTGCGCTCGCATCTGCATAAGGTTATATAAGCACGCGGGACACGATAGACATTTTCAGTTGGTAGGAAATTTTGAACTTTTTCCCGGGTGGCCGCCGAAGCCCACTCTTATCAATTTTTGACCACCAAGGGATCTTTAAGTTTAGCGTGCGCAACTTGCACTTGGGACCTCCGAGATTTTTCACAATTGTCTGCGAAGGATATGTGTAGATCTTTCCTACCAGAAGATCAGGGGTGTGGTTGAAAGACAGTAGTAAAAGGGGGCCAAGAAGTAGCAGTAGAAAAGCTGCAGCCCAGGGGAAGGGGCAAAGGCGGTACAGGGGTGGGGCAGAAAGTGGAGACGAAAGCAGAAGACAGAACATTTGTAGAAAGCAAGAAAGGGTGTAAAAAGAGTTGATTTTTAGAGAAGAAAATTTTCCGTCGCTGTCCGGATTCGAACCCTCGACTTATTGAAGGAGAGACGAACACCTTAACCTCTTGACCACGAGAGCCCTCCAATCATGTCTAATTTCTCATTCTTATTTTGGGATTTGTGAAAGAAAAGGGTACTGATTACTAGAAGAGAGTGCTCAAAAGTGAGTGAGACAGACAGACAGACGAACTGTTCAATTATCAAGAAAAACGATGAGCAATGAGAGGAGCAGGGAGGGAAAAGAAGAGGATGAAAAGAGTCAGGAAGGGAGACATGGGCAGACGAAAGACAGAGGAAGAAAGAAAGTGTGTGTGTGTGTGTGTGTGTGTGTGTGTGTGTGTGTGTGTGTGTGTGTGTGTGTGTGTGTGTGTGTGTGTGTGTGTGTGTGTGAGTGAGTGTGTGTGTGTGTGTGTGAGAGAGAGACAGAGACAGAGAGACAGAGAGAGAGAGAGGGTGGAGAGAGAGAGAGAGAGAGAGAGAGAGAGAGAGAGAGAGAGAGAGAGAGAGAGAGAGAGAGAGTAAGTAAGAGGGGGGGGGGAGAATAAGAGACAAAGAGAAAGAAAGATGGGAGAAAGAGAAAAGGGAATGGATGGATGAGGTTTTCAGAACAGGTAAAATAAAATGAACAAACTGAATGCCGAACCTTGCGACCTGCGTTTGTCGTTACGATTTACTACTTTATTTTGTTAATGTCGAAGGTCACTTTAGGTCAGTCACCCGCTGTGGCACACAAGATACTGGCTTGCTATGTTAGGGGGAAGTTCGAGGTGCAAATTCGAGTCTGGCCTGAATTATGATTATATTAATCTTAACTTCTCATGAATATTAATATGTTTAGTACCCTAGCCTGACGGCTATCACATATAACAAACAATTCCAATTATTGTTGACGTTGACCTTGGGAAGAATCGATGTAAGCAGACCTGCCCGTTGACAATTGACAATATCTCACCTCACTTGCATGCCTGAGGCATGTTTGTAAAAACGTGTGGTACTGTAGGCCCACTGGTTAATGCATGTGCATGAATGTTGATTGTGTGCACAGGTACTGACAATTGAGAGAGGGGGAGAGAGAGAGAGACAGAGAGAGAGAGAGAGAGAGAGAGAGAGAGAGAGAGAGAGAGAGAGAGAGACAGAGACAGAGACAGACAGACAGACAGACAGACAGACAGACAGGGGAGAGAGAGACAGAGAGAGGAGGGGGGGGCGGGCATTCAAGTGAAAGTAAACAAAAATACCAAGAAGGCAGGGTTACGGAACCAGTAAATACCTGGGCATAAACTAAACGTCAAAAGGAAAAAAAAAGATGAGAGGTTACTTAAAATACATGTAGTAAAGTAAAGCGTTCGTAGTTTTTCATAAACCTGTCAAGACGGATTTATTTGATCTTTTGTTTTTGCTTTAATTTGGTTTCTTCTGACATATTATTCATACATGGTGTGTGTGCATTATTCATACATCAAATCTAACTGTAAACGCAGATACACTGACGACATTCGCTTGCTTTGATGTTCTGTGCTGCCTGGTCAGGGGGAAAAATATATTAATAATGCTAACACCTTCTTAGAACATGTTATACTATTCATCGGCTCTGCAATACATTAAGGGAAAGGCCACGTCACAAAATCAAGGTTTTGTTCTGTACA